GAGTTATCAGATAAGGACGTAATACGGAAATTATTACTTTGTGATAATTATCAAATAAGGAAATGTAACAATGGTTGAGAAAGTGTAGTTTTGTGTTATAGCCGTAGAATATAGTATCTTTTTGATATTTTGAAAGGAATGGAAGTCGAATAGTACTAAATCTGGTGAAATATATGGATATAGAAGTAACGTAAGAATGAACGTAAATCTCCACTTTGGATCCCTAGTATTTGCTGTACCATTCTTTGGCGTGTAATGTTTGGGACTCTACAGTCCCATTTTGTAATGACTCATTGATTGCAAAGTGGATATACGAGGAATGTTTGCAAAGTTCTGGGAATTGTGCTATAATTAAATTACGCAGAACTTATAGGAAATGTTTATGCAACTATCTAGTGCAATATTGTTCAGTCTGATTTAGGTGTTCGACTGATATAGACGCATTTTCATAGCACTATTTTTGTAACCACGGAAGACGCAGCAAAATCTCGAAGAGCAATAATTTTCTTTTTGTGGAAAGGTATGAAAACATCAGAAATTATTCAGAGTCTGCAAGGAGTATTTGGTAAGTCTGCAGAATCCAAAAGTACTGTTTCTCGGTGGATCGATCGTTTTAAGACCGGTAGAACATCACTAGAAGACGATCCACGCAGTAGGCGCCCAAACACGTCGGTAAATGAAAGAAACATTACTGCCGTCGAAGACTTACTGAAAGAGGACAGGTGAATGACTATTCGCCAAATTAGTGTACGCCTAGGGATAGGTACACGACAAGTTCATGACATCTTGCATGATTGTTTGAGCGTTAGCAAGGTTTCGGCGCGCTGGGTGCCAAGGCTGTTGGGACCAGAACAGAAACTCAATATAGGTCTGATACTTGTCGTCAGCTTCAAGAGCTGTTAGCCCGTTATGGTGATAAATTTAGGCAACGGATAATAACAACTGACGAAACGTGGATTCCTTATTTCAATCCTGAGACCAAAAGTCAATCCAAAGAATGGCGCAAACCAGAAGAAGGGCCTCCACTTAAGGCGCGTGCAGTTCCTTCTGTGGAAAAGATAATGCTTACTGTTTTCTGGGATTGCGAAGGGATTATTTTTATGGATTATCTTGCGAAAGGTACTACAATTATCGCAGAATATTATTCGAATTTATTATCCGGAGCACTGCGACAGACACTTGTCAAAAAACGGCCTGGAAAGTTGCATAAGCGTCCGTTATTGCAACAGGATAATGCAAGACCACACACCGCAAGAAAAACGAAAGTTACGAAGGATGTTTTGAACGATTTACGACGGGAATTGCTTCCGGACCCACCTTATTCCCTGGATCTTGCACCCAGTGATTATCATCTGTTCCCAGATTAGAAAAAACATTTACGGGGTTCGATTTGAAAATTTATTAACTGACGCAAACCGTGCCATAAATAGGTGGATTGAGGTGAGACCGAAAAAGTTCTTTGAGGATGGCTTAAAAAAATAGCTTATGTCGAATAACTACATTGTAATATTGACGAAAATTAACAAAATAATAAGAATTATAACTAAATTCCCAGAACTTTGGAAACATCCCTCGTCCTTTCAACCATTTTTTATTTTTTTATTGCTTTTTTGGTCATAGTCAGCTACTTACGTTTTGATTTTAAAATATATCAATTTATTTCTATTCTAGACTTGAGAATGGCTGATTAGCCGAAACCGGTTGCCAAAAAAATTGTTTAAAATTTATGTGGTACTAAATTTTGTTTAATTTGCCTCTTTGAAGATTACCATATTTGAGAAGTGGTTCTTCATTTTTTTTATCTGCTTTTTCATAGTGGTCGTATGATAACCGATAAAATTAAGATGTAAGTACAACAATAGAAGAAGATGCCAATATGACTGAAAATCAATTTTACACTAAATTGCTAAAATGCCATATTCAATTTTATCATTTTTTTTTTTTCAACAATTTTAATAGGTTGTGAATAGAAATCGGAATGTTTTACATATTTTAACATTTTTTCTTACTTGACATCCGATCACTTATGCTAATTATTCTTATTCGACCTAAATAAAGTAAAATTAATTAACACATAGATATTTATTTGTTCTGTACGTGCCCTAGGGCTCTAGCTTATTAAAATTAGATCTACTTCTAATGAAATACTATCTTACCTGCCATTTTAGGTACAGTAAAATTGAGTTTTAAAATGAAATACATATTAAATATTTTAAAAATCTCCTTTACAATTGGGTAAATACTATTAACACTTTTCATTTTTATTTTTTGGTTGGTTGGGAACCGACAAAAACATCGCAAGACTGACAAAGTTAGGCAATTTAAACATTTTAAATAATTCCTGTATCTTAAGAATGTCAAAATTTGTACAAATTAGATCGAAACATCAAAATGACTATTGAACGGTTTACCTATGTAGCATTGGTGCTGTACCACCGCCTTTACCGAGCGCGGCAATCTGTCAAAAGCGGCAACGAACGTTTCGCTCAAAATGCACACAATATTTTTTCGACGATCACATTATTTTAAGAAATAGATATAAAAACTGAAAAACTAATTTGTTGTAAGTAGTGTATAATGTGTTGCATATAACTAAGTTATTCATGAAGTATATTTTCATTATCCAAAGTAGGCTTTTGCGCTTCGAAATATAACCGCAAAGTTGACGTTTTCCGCGAACTGACATTAAGTGACAGCTCGCTGAGAGGAAAACTTGACAGCTTTGTTGCTCGCCTAAATTAGGTAGATATAATATATTAAAAAAAAAATGATTTTCAAGTTATTTGTACGTAGTTTGATTTTTTATTGTTTTATTATCCAAATTAACATTGACTTTGAACATCAACTCCGTTTTTCATGTTTAACTTAGATATAGGCAACACATTATACACTACTTACGACAAATTTTCAGTTTTTATATCTAGTTCTTAAAATAATGTGATGTAGAAAAAATCTTGTGTGCATTTTGAGCGAAAATTTCGTTGCTGCTTTCGACAGATTGCCGCGGCCAACTTTCTGTCTCAAAAGGCACAAATAGCTATTTTCTAAGGCTATAAAAAAATACAATCAACTATAGTTGATTAAGAAATGAGATGCATTTCCTTATTTGATAATTCTGACACAAAGGAATCATTTCGGTATCAGATCAGTTCGACAAAATGTATATTTTTTAAATAAACAATTAAATTACTAAACATCTGTTTATAAAGTTTATTTAAAATAAAATACTATTTACTTTTTTTACTTTTTATATATGTAAATGATTAGAACCTACCGCACGAGCTAGTCTATGACTACCTGATGATTACCAAAACCGGTCCTATAGTTGAATCCGAAAGTAATATTCAGTAATAGAATATCGGGAATTTGTGTAAAACACGTGACAAAAGTTTTCATATCCAGTATCTAATTTATACTGTGTGACATTGAAAATGCAACACCCAGTAAAATATAAGGAATCTTAATTAAATTTTTGCAAATAATGTGTTGATTTTTTACAAACAGCTGATCTCACTTTAAAAACATTGATTACTATGCATCCAGTGAGAAGACGAGCTAATTTTGATCTGTTAAGTGAATTAGAACGGGGTAGGATTACAGGGCTGCGGAAGCAGGAATTTTGTTTCGGGAAATTGGCAGTAGCATTATTGTCGCGCAAAAGCCTGCCCTGTCATGTTAGATGTTGGTGACTCAAACTTTCTAGTTTGAGAAGAAAAATCATAATAATATTGTAATCTAATAATTTTCGAATTGATTTTTTTACGGGACCTGTTTTTGTGCCCATGATGCATATTATAGAATGTATTTTGATCACTTTTTAGATTTGCTTTAATTTATTTACAGTATTCGTCACATTCCAATGCTCCAATGCGTTTAGTTCTGGAATTTAGACATATCGAAGGAATTTTTGCGATAGTATCATGTTTATTAACGATGTTAATTATTATTTAATGCATTTTATTTTGTGAGTTTGATTTTAACAGCCAAGTTGAAAAACTTTTATTAAAATTTACAAACCTTATAAACTTTAACAAATGTTCAGACTGTGATTAATTTCAAGTTCGTGACATTCAGACATCATATTCTTAAGATCTGTCAAAGTTTTCCAGGCTTATACTTTTTAATAAAGGTTCTTGCAACCGTCTGTGAGCCTATTATGTTGTTAAATTTTACATTCCTCTACGTGAATCGTCAACGTATTGTCGTGTTGTCCTGTAAACAACAGACTTCAAAAATGCCTAGTTTATTTTTATTGTCTTTCGGTTCATTCGTGTTTAAAAAGTCCATCTTATTTTTTTAAATGTTAAATTCTCCGGTCTTCCATTGCATTTTAGGGCTATAATGCGTAACTCTAACCTTTGTTTTTGCATGTCTTTTTGTTTATACATATTTCTAATAACTAATGAAATAGTAAGTCGTGCTTTAGATTTAAAGAGTTCATATTATAGTATTACAATAAAAACGAGATTAGTCTGTAAGTTGCATTATTTTATTTTCTATAAGACACTATTTACCAATGGCGTTAGCCATTGGAACTGGCAGTACGCACTGAGTATATTTGTGTCCTTGTTTATCGACAAGGAAAAGAAGAAAATGAGAATACACTCAGAACGCACTGAACATTCCAATGGAAAACGCCATAAGTTTCTGAAAGTACTCCTAGTGGAAAATTATATGTCGTACTTTAATATAGTTTTTTGGAATATTTTCGAGTTAGTAGAAATATAAAATAAAAGCCCTAGGTACTTGTTTTGACAGTTGTTTTTTATTTTGTCATTTTATAGATTATGTTAAACAAACAAAATTATCAGCGGGTTGTAAATCGTTCCAACACTATCCAAATCGATTATAGAACTATAAGTTTGTGCATGTGTTCTAAGTAGCTCTGAATCATATTCTGAGCTCCTGTGAATTTTCAGTTGGAACAAACATATTATTTAACTAATAAATCAATGACTGAACCTTTATTTGAATAATTCTAACCAAAACGATTACCGTAGCGATCTTCCGGAAGACCGCACAACGGTTTTGCTACTGGGAGTGACTAGAATACCAACATCTCCATTACCGAATCGGCGACCCTATTCTCTACCCCCCAATACTACCCTCGAAAAAGCCGATTTTCTCGGCGAAGAAGGTGGCGTTAGGCAAACACCTCGCCGGGGATCCGTTTCTGATGAGAAGAAAAGCGTAGTCGTCAGGAGAAATTCTTCGTTGAAGAAGGGTGGTGGTGGTAGAAGGTTACAGGTACTTGGAATGTTTTGTGTTGTTACTGTGTTGTAGTTAGTTTCCAGATTAACATGATTCAAGCTGTTATTATTTTAAAGTATTCTAAAACTTAAACCTCCTCACATTCCCAATGAAAATAATGTTTTGATTTTAACTTTTTTGAAACAATGGTAGGACACGTTCATTAGGTCTAATTTGTAAATATTATTTTGTACACCAGTATGGGGTCTATTCTATAACACACCCTTTAAAAAGTTAACTTAGCCGCCCATTATTTGTTTTAATCAAAAACTGTATTCTATTTTTTTAAATTTTAGGGGTCTGTTTATTAATTTTAACGGAGTTCTTTAAAATCCCAGGAGATATTTGACCTATGGTACGCGTGTGAATAGTCCATTAAAAGAAAATATGAAGAAGAGCTGATTACATAACCAATAATCAAACATTTTAAAATTTTTGATTTTAGTTCATACTTTTTCATTAGGGTTCGGCGTTTCGTATTAAACTCAACTCAAAAAACTGACTACATCTTTATTCCAGTTGGATTGGAAGCTCATAAAGGGACCTAACAAGGAAGACTGACAGACTGCCAAAAAAGTGGTGGATTATGATAAACTGAAATGAGCAATCAACGCATTTGAACCATATAAATTACCGGGAAGCGTATTTACAGATGTTAGCATGTGTTGACACCAGGGTGTTGAAATCTGTGGGGTTTTGGAAAAACAGTACATTAACAAATACTAGCAGATTTAGACACTAGAGTGTTAAAACCAGTGGGCTTTCGTATCGGATATACATTTACAGATGCTAACGGTTGTTGGCACAACCATTGACGAGTCCTTTTTTAAAACCATGACCGATTTAACTAACACATAACAATATAAATACGTCTGAACAACCAATCACATCCAACGAAAGCTTCTTCGATACAAAAATTGATTTTTCTGTTAAATTTTCCAAAAGGTCCTTCAGATAACGAAAATTGCGAAGAAGAACTGAATACATTTGAAAACAATAGAAAACATAAGGCACATAATTACTTCCAATCAAGGCAGTCATATGAAGAAAATGCTGGGATTATTTAACAATAAGCTAAACCAAATTAAACATCCTTCAGATTTTTTTCGATTTTTGTACATCAGTTAAAAATTAAGGTTTAAACAACTGCCGTCAGCAGAAGAAAACATCGTGAAGGATTGTCCTGCGGAACTCGTATCTGGACGACCGTCCAAAACAGACAGCAAAAGAAAAAAAAAGAACTAGAAATCTTATGAGAAACATCACATGGAACCAACCTAACACTAAAGTAATAAAAAATTAATAATATCCCAACAACGTTTTATTGTTTATTAATACTTGCATCACTTAAATATTTTTTCGCACGATGACCTATCTAGATCCTACATCACTTTAATATTTTTTTCGCAGTGACCTATCTAGTTATTCAAAATCAGTATCAACAACCGTTAGCATTTGTAAAACTCACTGGTTTTAACACTCTAGTTTCCAAATCTGCTAGTATTTGTAAATGTACTATAAACCTCACAGATTTCAACACCCTGGTCTCAACACACGCTAGCATCTGTAAATATGCTACCAGGAATTTACGGGATTTATCCAATAATTCTACAAAGAGAATCTGATATTCTATACAGAAGACTGCAACATACTTAGAAGTAACCTGGCCTTTGGATACATACCAAGAGCATGGAAAAACATTAGGGTCATTTTTATACCAAAACCCGGGAAAATCGGACCGGGAACGCCAAAGTTCCTAAGACCAATAAGTGTAATGTCTTTCGTATCCAAGACTTTAGAGAAACTGCTAGATAGACATATTAGAGACGGTATCTTGGTACAAAGAACCAATACGCCTATAGTGTAAATCAACAGAAACAGCTCTCCATCAATTAGTAAAAAAGGTGAAAACAAGGAAGTAATGTTAGGATCTTTCTTGGACATCAAGGGAGCATTTGACAATACCTCCGTCGACTCTATCGTCAGAACTCTGAAACAGAGAAATCGAGGACACATCTGTGACCTGGGTTGACTCATACTAAGACGTAACCATTACAGAAGAGACGATACAACCTAGGGTTGTGAAGGGATGCCCACAGGAAGGAGTACTGTCTCTACTCCTGTGGAACTTGGTCAATGGTGGAGTGCTTAGGACTTTTAAAACCAGGGGATATGCCGATGATCTAGTGATCGTGGCACAGGGTAAATACAACATTAAGAGGCTTTAAATGTAGTAACAAAATGGATAGAAAAGGAAGGAGTAAAAATTAATCCCAACAAATCTAGCATTCACGGGCAGTAGAAAGTTAGAGGGACTAGAACCGCTACACCACCGAGGTGAAAACATCCAACTAAAGGGGAGGGTAAAGTATCTCGGGGTTACAATTGCCTCGAAACTTACCTGGACTCAACATTTGGAAAAACAAGAAGACGCACCCTTGAAAAAAATGGGGACTGAAACCAGGTATATTATATTGAATATGCAATATGGTGGTAAGACCGATATCATACGTAGCTTTGGTGTGATAGCCAAATACACAACAAAGAGTGACAATAACGATACCAAGCAAGGTACAAAGACTCGCCTGTCTTGGAATAACTGGTGCAATGACAACAACCCCAACACCAGCAATATGCTGCTTACCACTTCACTTTGTGATACAGGAGGAGACACAATAAGGTGCTTATAGATTAGGGAGCACCTTGGAATATAACATTAGACCGGGTCACATAAGTATCACACGGTTAGTGATAGGGGACGTACTAGACATTAGAACAGATCACATAACTAAACGTTACTCCTTTCGAGGTTTTAATACCAAATAGAATGGAGATGATCACTATAAGGGAACCCACTGCATAACGACATGAATAAACTTGGTACACAGCCGGGTCAAAAACTGTGGAAGGCACTGAGGCTGAAGTATTCAAAAAAACCTTAACGCCAACCTTAGCTATGCAATAGGAAGACCATCTTCAACATTTCAGGCTGATGTTTATGCAATCTTGCAATAGGAGAGCAATCGGAAATAAGCAGATCAAAATAATGTCAGATAATCAGACAGCCCTTAAGACCATATCGAGTCAGAAAGTGTCGCCGAGGCTGGTATGGGATTGAATTGAAGAAATGAGAACACTGGCAAACTAAAGTAAAACTAATTTGGGTGCCAGGTCGTCAAGGGACCGAGGGCAATAAAAAGAGAGGGTCAGAAGAAATACCAGAACCAGATATAAACCTTGGAGTAGCAAAATAGAGTTCGAGGTTACTTAAATGAGTGGGTTCGGAGAAAACGTAACTATTGGGAGAGAGCTCCAAAGCAAGCACATGGTAAAACCTTTATAGGAAGACCATGTTCAAATAGAACAGGAGAACTACTCCGCATAGATTGGAATCAGTTGAAAACAATAACAGGACTCATGACTGGGCATGCCCCAGTAAAGGGACATCTGAACAAAATAAGCGCGTATAATGGAGGCCTATTGTATCGACTCTGTCACAAAGAAACAGAAACAGCCAAACACATACTGTGCAGCTGTAAAACATTAACTATCAACAACGTGAAATGAATGTATGACGAATGGGAAGGAGTAGGGCATCCACATGGTGGTACAATAGGCCATCTGCATTTTAGTGCCGACATGCGAACCACGAACCAAATCTGATTGAGGGGAGCCAATGGCTGGAACCATGCCTCATTGGGGTAGTCAGTTGGAATCCCTCAAGGGGAGCAGACGGATGTCTGAAAAGGAAGTAAAAAAGGTACTATAAATTAATATGGGTCAAATACAATTGCTATTAGGCTTCACTGTTATTGGAGACTAAGTCAGACGAGCCCAGAAAAAAACATTAAATCAAAAAATGTTATTAAAAGATACATTTGGCAACGGGTCCCTTGAGTCCCTTATTAACCTTTGAGGTAATCTAAATTTTGTCCTGAAATATTAAATGTAGTTATTAACTTTACATTAAAAATATTGTGTAATTCATACCGTTTTTCATTTTCCAGTAATTCTTCAATCGAAACTTCTCCAATTTAAATCATAACACATAAAACTCCTATAAAAATGATGATTTTTTATGGGAATATTTTAAAGAAATCCGTTAAAATATTGACAGAAGTAAGTTAGTGAGTGGAAATTATATTAAAGGCCGTCAATAGCGGCTTTTAAAATATAAAAGAATTGTTACAGAATAGGCCCCTTTATGTGATATAAAACTCACAATTACCCCCGATTTTGTAGATATATTTTTTTACACCGTTATTTGAATTGGGTATTGTATATTTTGTATTTTTTTAACAACTAATTGCCTGTTTATCACTTTTAAAAACTGTTTTAAACTTTTATATCAAAATAGGTACTATATCCTTGATAAATACTTATTGGATGATTACAATTCTTTAACTTTCAATTTAAAGAATGTGTAAATTAGCATACGAAAGTTAATATATAGAGCTCGGCAAAAGTCTTTTTCGGTTTTTTTTATCTTTGCCGTCGGCTTTTTTCCAACTACGAGGTTTTATGACAGAAGCTAGTGAGCACGCTTCAACATTATCAAATGTGTATTTTGCAGAACTCTCTGATGTTCCAACAAGAAATAGGAATCTTTAAAGAGGTCAAAATTCCTCCACTCCTTTTTTTGTATTACAATCCAAAGGTTGTCGTATATATTATTTTTTTTTAACTAGTTTTATACAAATTTATATTTTTAATTACCTTAAAGCTTTATATTTTCAGTTCAATTCGGTGGACAAAAAAAAATAATGCTAAAGCATGTGAAATGGTTTTAATATACTTATAATATTGTCCATAGAATTGAGGTTTTAGTTAGTGATTGGTATTTTTTTATAGACGTGATTGGATTTTTTTTGTAAATAAACGGTGGATCATGGAAGCCGTATTAGTTTCCGTCAAGTGAGTTTTACTACCCTCTTTTCTATACCGCGTTTACTTTTTTAAGGAATCAAGTATTTATATAGGTAATGAAATGAATAACA